TCACTGTTTGAGACAGTTAACTAGGAGGGAGGTGATTTCCCAGTATCTGGTTAGGCAATTAACTGAATTAGTATTTAGAAAATGGTTTCCAAAAATAGCAAAAACTTACCATGTTTTTATGCATCAAGCTAATTGGGGACTGAGCTTTTAGGACTATAAAGAGTCCATGTGGTGGTGATTTTGAATACCTTGGTGTTTGAGTTTTTGAATGGGAAAACCTCAAGGAGGCTGATTTCCAGGGCACCACTTCTTAGTGCTTTCTGAAAGTTGGTACCTGGGATATGTTTTAAATTTCATGCCTCTCTAAATTCCCAGTCACTGCTAAAAAAAGTGGCTACACTGTCTTCTTTGGGATCTTTGGTGTCTTTAGGATCAGTGACTGCTTTGTCAGAGGTCAAAAATAAGTAACACAAATAAACAAAGAGCTTGCAGCTATTTCCATTTAATACACCAGAGTCTGCCTTAGTTCTGCACAGAGATACTGAAGAGGTGAGGATTAAAACTACTCGTGAAATTTTTTGTTCCTCCTCCTCTCCCCCCTCCCCAGTTGCTTTTTTCACTTTTTCTGGCATAATTTACAATTACGTTATAATTGGTCTCTGTTCAGTAATATCTGACCTCCTCTTTCTAACGGATTGAGAACAAGGATGAGAACTTCTCAAATCACAACTGAAGATGAGATCAGTAAATGTGACCAAAAAGTCAGCATTGCTGACTTGTGAGATGCACTTTTTTCCGTTTCCAATTTGTTCTTTACTGTTCTGTACTGGAAATTCTGAAAACAAATCTGAAAAATGAAAGCCATCTGAGCTGCTTAGCAATGCAAATCTATTTTACTGTCAATCTGTTAAACTTTAGCTTTGTCTCACTTGGTCAAATGTGAGATGCTTCAGATGAAACGCTCAAGGAAGCAGTGTTTACTGATGAAACTTTGTTTAGTCGGAAATTTGCAAACCAGCTTTAGTTATAGTCTTATATCTCTCTCACACAGATTTTTTTCCTTATACACGTATTCACAGAGAGCTTGTGTTAAATAGATGTTATCAAGTATTTACTTAAAAAAAAACAATAAGTTTTAAACTGTTTGACCAAAGAACCTTTTCCTCCCATCTGATGCTGCCAAAAGGATTTATATAGGAGCTAAAATGCATGTGGAAAGGGTCATGCCTGGAATTCTGCTATAATTGTAATCTTTTTCATGCTGAAAAACAGCTGCCTATCAGTTTAAGGGAATCGCTTGAGAGCCACTCCACACTGGCCAGTAAAATGATTGGATCACTGAAACAGGAACTCACTGGAAAATTGCTTCTGCATGTAGCTCTTCTGCCTTATCTTTGGCACAACCCCCATGGTAATTAAGAAGTGCAAACTGAGCTCTGAACCTGATGGGCTAAGCTAAAGTGGACCAGAACAACTCTGCCCCCAGCTCTGCAAAGCCCTGGTTCCTCAAGTCTGCCTGCATCGCTGAGATGCCCACCTCTGAAGCATAATTTCACGCTCTTTCTGACATTTCTGCTTCAGCTCCTGTTGCAAGGTCAGAAGTGAACATTAGGACTAAAGAAAAAAATATACTTATTTTTCCCCATCCTTCCCTGAAAGCTCCGTGTAAGGTCTTGATGAAGCTTCTGGGAATGCTGTGCATATGAAAAAGTCTAATTCCTTCCAATATTTATCATACTATCTGTTACATTTCTAAGTTATTGCTATCAGTTCACCATGTGGAAGTAGCATCTCCATGTGAACCTCTAGGTCAGCAGGATCTGAAGGCACTGTTTCACTGATGATCACTGCAGCCATGCCCATAAAGAGAACGTTACTGTGCTTCTGGTGAGCAAGGGTTGGAGTTCTCAGCTATGTCGACAGGCAGTGAAAGAAAGCACGTCTCAGTAGAAAAAAATGAGACCTGCAAGCCCAGAATCTTAATCAGGTGATTAATTAGCAACGGAGTCCTTTTTATTACAGCCTAGAAGAGTACTAAATCTTGGGTGGGTAATGTGAAAGTCTGCAGTATTTTATGTTCCTACTGGTCACTTCTATGTGCTCCTGTGAAAATCCCCAAGATACCTTGCTGAGAAACCTGAGAGGAAAAACAATTAGGACTAAACTTCCAAGTGAGCTGCTGGGCCTCAGGCAGAAAACCACGAGAAGACAAATGATAAATGACCAAGTATTCTGTCTCAACAGGAAGATGAGCCAGGCATTGCTGAGAACAGGTTTTCTAAAGAGCTAAGCTCTTTAGAAACACAACTGAGTGGTTTAAACTGCAGAGCCAGCCCAGAAAACCAGAGTGGGACAGTTCACTGTGTACTGGGTTTCTCGAGGGACTCCTGGAGTTTTTTGCCCATGGTATTTGCTGCAGCAGATGTGTCACCAGGTCAGTTGTGTTGGAGGCCTATTAACTGATCGGACAATTTAACAGTTGATAATATCATGGCAGTTACGTCCCTGAGATAAGTGTAACCAGATACCTGGCTCTGCGGCTTGAACACTTGGGCAGTCCCACTTGAAAGATCGAGTGGTCTTTAGAGGATTACAATACATCACGACTGCTGAATGTTTCCATTTGTGACACCGCTGCTGATGCCCGTGGGGCTGTGCAGGGCAGCAGGGACGCAGAGCAGCAGATACTCCAGTGCTGCCTCGATAGCGTCGTATCTCTGGGCTCACAGGGAAGCCTGACATGGTGGTTGCCTGCCAGCAGCACAATGCTGGCTCTGGCAGCAGTGGCTCTGGGAGCTCAGAGAGGCTGTGACAGGATTTGCCCCTGCAATTGTGCTGTTGTGAGGGGTGTGCCTGTGTGGTACACAGCACATGCAAGCTCCTGAAGTGAGGAGGGCGTGGGGGACAGGGCTGACTTGCATATCGACAGTTCTTGGACTTCTAAAACTCTAAGTGCCTTGAATTTGCATCACAGGGTCCTTATTAGCAGGTGGGCCTACTACAGCAATCCACAAGTTTGTCAGCACTGAGGACTGAAAAGGTACAGAATTGTCAAAAAATAGCTGATTCTGATATTTTTACCTTCTAGCTTTAGAGTTCATCTACCACCAGCCAGCAGTTTGTGATTCAACTAGATTTAATCCTCTCTGTGATTTGGATTCAGTGAGCTCATGGGAGAAAAGTCTATTTCTGGATTAACAGAAAGGCCAAGTCCAGCTGTGACTATTCTTGGTCACAGCCTAGTCCTCAAATACCTGCCTGTGTTTCTGTGTTCTGTAACACCTCCTGCATGCAGCCAGCAAATCACTAGCAAACGATGTTCATGCTCCTCTGCACACTGAAAAAAAATTAAATACCAGGCACACTTCAGAAAACATGATTGCCAGAGATGTACTTATGGCCCTAAAGTGCAGCAATCCCCTATATACCCATCATCTCTCCCACAGACACGTCATACTAACTTACAACATCCTCCTCACATACTTCCCTTTACATATTGTTATACAGACTAAATTTGCTTAGCACTACACAACAGCCTCTTGCATGCAAGCCTATACGTTCTTAGCTCATGAGTTTTACTGTAAGTCCCATGAACATTCTGTGAACTTCCAGCTCCTGGATTCATGGGAACAATAAAAATCTCAACAGGGTTTTTAGGTTTTATGGTTGAAGAAAAAAAATACACATAAATATGATCTAAAATGCCTCCAAACCAGAAGGCAAATAAAAATAATCCCAGAAACATTACTGTTATGCTGATAAATTCAGTGATTTTTAAGCTGCCTTCTTCAGGGATCTCATGTATGGTTTTGGGAGGGTATGGTTGGCCACACTTGTGAGAAACACATACTTCTCCACACTCAGGTCTCATAGAACTCTTTCTTTCTAAACCTCACACAGGTGCTTCACAGCACTTGCAGACACTCACTGCCTCAAGATCTTCTGTAGTTTGGGGTGAAAATCAGTCTGTTTAAATTCAGACTGGCCAAGACTCAGCTCCAGTCATTACACATATCTGGGTGAGAAGTGGAGACACTAGGGAAGATGAGAAATGGAGGCTTCGGGGGCTGCTAAGGTTACTTCCAGTTTCTGCTGCTTCTTAGGGTTAATGAGGTGCATGAGATGCCAGAATAAACAGCCTGCTCGCCATTTAGCTGCTGAAACAGTGTGTCCTGCCTTGGAGGAGCTGCTCACACAAGATGGTTTCCAGAGCTCATGTTTGCTGCATTGCACACTGTCCCATTGCACTTGGGGCTTTCAGCTCTAAGCTTGAAAGCAAAAGTCATGCTCAGTGGGGAGATTGAGCTGTCACAAGGAAGATCTGCTGCATCTGAGATGAGCTCTAGTCTGCTGAGAGCAGTCCAAGCCGTGGTGGCCCCACTCTGCCCTCGGCTGCACAGCTGTAGTGTGTGCAGGTGCTTTATGTGCCTTCGTGGAACACAGCCAGCCCATCCCTGCCTCTGTATCTGGCTGGTTTTGTGCCAAGGGGTGACCTTGGTTTGGAGTTAGGTTTGTTTCCCCTGATGGGCTGATTTCTCTTAGTATGCCTAGAGGCAAGGACTGGAACCCAGGGATCCTGCACCATAGACACCTTTGGCATCATCTCCCTCCCATCACTAGACTGTGATGTCAGGGTGTTGCCTAAAGCCCTGACTCCACTGGTCTCCCAGACATGCCTAGATGTGTATAAAAAAATGATATTTCTTAAATGAAGTCTCTGCTCTCCTCTTTTGAGTGCTCAGGGAGAAAACACAGCCTATGTTATGTCCTTTATTCTAAATGGCTGCGGCCAAGTCAGTTGAATCCTTGCCTCCGCCAGCTTTGTCTATGACCAATTTCAAGGGGCAGAAGTCCCCTGAACAGAGAGGAGTGTGTGAACAGCAGCCTCTGCAGGATTTCCTTGCTTTGTATGTCTCTACTGGAAGATGGCTCTCCAGCCTGTTACACTGGCCAGTGCAGCAAAGTAAGAGGAGAGCAGAGACAGCACTCAACTAACTTGAGAAGTACTTCAAATTTTTTGGCTGTGTGATCTTGCCTGCTCTCACTCAGGCCTGGGACAGCTGGAGAGGATGTCTGTGGTGTTCTACTACAGCTGGAGAGGCAAGGGTGATGTGAATCCTTCTCTTCTGAAGAAGAATTTCTCTAAATCCAAAAGGGCACCCAGTATTTTTCTAAGGTCACAGATGTTTTGCAAGAGTTATGAGTGATGGCAGAGACATACTTTGCAGTCAAGTCTTCTGGGAGTCAGTTGGGAGTTTTGGCTGAGAAAGAATTGGAATTAAAGTTATGAATCTGATCCAGAGCAAGTAATGAGTCTGATCCAGAGCAAGTAATGAGTCTGTGGGTGAGGCTGATTCGAGATCTGCACTTCATGGCTGATCCACGTGGGGTCAAATGTAAAAGCAAAAGGGAATTGCTACCAGGACCTCGTGTGGGCTGGGGCAACAGTGCCTTGGGAGATTTCTCACACTGGCTCTAGCAAAAACTTACTGAGGGTGAAGAGAAAACTGAAACAGGCAAGACTGAGGTTCACAGGAGATGCACTCTGTCTGACACCATCTCCCTTCTTCTCTCTCCTTTACCTCCGCTGCATCTAGAGTCTTTGCACACTTTTGAATGTCAAAACTCTTCTTTTTTAACATCCTGTGCCACTGGAGAAAAACTAAGAATTATATAGATAGAAGAGCATAGGACTGGCACTAGATCTAGGCTGGAAATTATTTTCTTAGTTTGTGAGGATTTTCAAAGTACTGGAAAAACTTTTTTTGTTCTGACAGAGGCCAGAAAGTCAAAATCTGAACCATGTTGGTGAACTGAAAATCTGGAAAAGAGCAGCGAGGTTAGGGGTCAAGTGCAGCACTTTGTTTAGACAATTTTCAAATGTTTTGTTTTAGTTCTAGATATTTCTAAATTGTTTCTAGCCATACAATTACCTTAAATTTGGAAATTAAAAGCTACTTTGAAAAGTGGAGGTTTGAGCAATTTGGAGGAGGAAAAAACTTCAAACTGGAAACTTCACAAGAAAAAACTCTTTCCCAGGGAGAAAAACAGTTATAATGGAATGGCATTGCATTATGAAACCCTGAAAAAAACCTGATTCTCCCTGCCCCACAGCTGTCTCTGAAAACGGATGGTGCTCAGCCCTATACTTCCAAGAGTTCATCTTGAGGCAATGCAGCTTGTCACAGATCTCCCTTTTACTGCCCCAATCTGTCCCTAGGACTTTCTTTCCTGCTTGTGGAAGTGTCTATGTTGTCTGATAAACACTGAGCAGAACCATATGTGAGCAAGGTTGCATTATGCAATATGGGAGGATGGGTTACTATCTACGCTTCAACTTGTGAAAGTTCTCCTTTTTGGCCAGGTCTCAAGGAGGGATATTGAATTACATTGCATTTCATTTCGATTAACATTGGACGCTTAAAATTTACTGTCAATACAGGCACAGGTTTTTTCTGCTGAAGGAATTCTTATATTCCCTGAAATTTCTAGATCAACATGAGCCTGCCAATGCCAATTTTTGCTTTACAAGCAACTACTAGATCCTAAGGCTGAATTTACAGTATTATTTCCTTGTAAATGTCAGATGTAGTTTTGGGAGAATGTTCAGATATATCCGATACTGGTCAACTCACCATTTTCATTAGGATGTAATCAAATCAGATACAGCTGAGATCCTTACCCATACCCTTGAGGAAGCCGATTGACAGGGTATGGAGGCAAGCTTTGGAAATAATAGACATGAAAAAGTATAAATCCTATGTTAAAGTTTTATAAGTTTCATTATATAGTGATATTTCTATTACTCCATGGGAGATTTGGATGAATCTATAGGGGGAAAAAAAGGCAGATATGGATTGGCAATTTTTTGCTCTGCTTTAAGTCAGGATTTTCCCTTTTGATTAAAAATAGAAAATCCCTTCAGCTGAAGGGGTAACACTGGACCAATTTGCATTGGAAATTAAACACTTGAGGCACTTTGCAATGGTACCTGATTCCAGTTAATTCCAGCAAGTTTTGAGGCTCTTTACCACCCTTCTAGTCACTCCCATGGAACAAAAATTCCCTTGCTACCCAGGAAATTACCTGTAATCTCATGTTACCTGTCAAAACTCCTTATCCAGAGCCTCCAAATGGGATCCAAACTAGAATTCATTACTGGAAAAATAAGGACAGACTTTTTAGCAGGGCCTACTGCAATAGGACAAGGAGTAATGCTTTTAAATTAAAAGAGAGTAATTTTAGATTAGATATAAGGGAGAAGTTTTTTATAATGAAGGTGCTAAAACACTGGCACAGGTTGCCCAGAGAGGTGGTAGATGCCCCATCTCTGGAAACAGTCAAAGTCAGGTTGAAGGTGTCCCTGCTCATTTCAAGGGCATTGAACTAGATGAGCTTTAAAGGTCCCTTCCAACTCAAACCATTGTATGATTAGTTGACAATCATGAGCCTTAAACCTGTGAGTCTTTTCCTTTGTGTGCTCCCTCCAAGGCAAGGGCACGTGGAAAGAGTGAATATATTATTTCTTTTTTTTTTTCTTTGAAAATACATGTGCAAAATCCAGTACTGCTGTGGTTAGAGAAGTCTGCAGAATAGACATGTCCAGAATCAAGACCAGATTGGCTGTCAGCACCAGGAAAGGATGGGTGTCTTGTGGAGAAGGGTGTTCTACCAAATCCTACTTATATTCACATCAGAATGGAATACTTTTAGTGACTTCAGAGGAGTCTGGATTGAATGACAGTGGTCTTGTATTTTCAAATACAGCCCTTCCTATGAATAGTACATATCACTTAACTAAACTTTAGCTCACATACATGTGGCAGGTTGCAAGCAGTAGCAAGATTCAATGTTCTTCCTACCATTGAAGCACAATTATTTCTGAGGAAACTAAGGTACCAAGGGAGTAATATGCCTGACTGCAGGCAGCTACAAAAGGCAGAGCAAGGCTCTGGAACTGGGAGTGATATTCCCTGTTTTTGTATTCATAATGCTCTTCTTCCTGCACTTCACAAGAAAAGCACATATGAAAATGTGGAAGGACACTTTAGGATCTGTTTTTCTCTGACCCTCTTTCTGGACTACAGATGCAATCTTAAGTACAACAGAAATGAAGTAAGATGGAACCTCATAAGAAAATGGTGTGTAGGGTATCACATGCCCTGTGCATTCACTTACGAGAGATCTTAGCAGATCAATGGAACAGACAGGCAGTACCATTGCCTAAAGTAGCAAGAAGCTGGTTTTCTTTCCCAGCCTTTGGTTGAAAGTACTTGACCTTTATCCTCATATCTTCTGTCTTTTATGAAGGGCCATACTAAATGCTCATTCCTTTCAGTAGTAGGAGTCATGCTTACAGCTATTCAATCTCTAATTGTGTGAAGCTGTCCCCAAAAACGCAGCCTAAGAACTGCCTTTTACTGAAGGGAACAATAAGGCTTAATATAGTGCTTGGAGTGATATTATAGAGTTAGAGGCAGATCAGAGATTAGTACATTGTTTTTGCTGCAGAGGATTTCTTGCTAGGACATTAATAGAAAAGGCTTTACCTAATCATATTGTTTGCAGGCTTGTTTTGTTCTGCCAAAGTGATATGTAAGTCCCTGACTGTCAAAAGGGAGCAAAGTTCAGCTTCCCATTTTCTACTACTGCTGAAAAATGAGCCTTGCAAAGTCTTGAGCTTGGCTTAAAACAAATTTTATAAGCGGGGACATTTCTGTTTCTTGCAGCTGATTTCTGAGCCTTTAGGTAACCTGTGAGTTACATTTCTAAGCATGGGGGCAAGAAGTCTCCATGAAGCATTGACAGAATGCTGGATGAGGCTCACACATAAATCCTGGGATTTCGCAATCTGGACTTTTAAAAAATCACCAGATTTCACAATATCCACAGTCACATTGTGAGGGATGGTGACCCTTCAGATTGAAAAGCATTTTTTCAGGATTGTCTCTGTTGATTCTTAGTTTGGGTATTTTTCTTCCCTTCCACATGTGATCCTCTTTTTCAGAGTCATGTATATATTGTATATATTGTATATTAGGAAATCTAGTTTTTCAAGGCACACCACTCTCTCCTGCTGCTTTTTCTGCAGCTCTTACAAGGCGCAGGATAGCTTTCTCTGTAGCCCTTCTTTCCCACCACTTTCCATACTGTTTCAGAGGCCTGTTGAAAGCAGTTCTTTATTCCCCCATCTGCTATCAATTGCCTCTCTCTCATGCTCTCTCATTGCACCTCGTGCACCCCCGCTTCAGGGACAAACTTTGAGAAGAACTTGCACTCCACTAAAGGCATCTATCACTGGCTAAATCCTTCTCAAACATCACCATTCTTGCTGTATGCAATTTGCTCTTTCCATGCCAAGGTTTGCTTCAGGAAATCCCCCAGATGAATTAAAAATATTGTTTTGCATTTGTTGGGACCTCTCCCCAGTGCTGCTTGCACTGCACAAGCTGAGTTTGGTGCTAGTTGGGTCAAGATAGCTCAGAAAAATCTCATGGCTGGGTATTGGCGCTTCTAAGCCTATTGGCTCACACACATGCTCACATACACACAGAGTCTCTCTCTTCTTTAAACAGGAAACTCAGCTCAGCATGTGGTGAGTAACCAAATATCAGCAAAGACTTTCTTGCATTTTCTTAAATTCTGTTAAAAAGGAAATTTGAGAAGGAGGGAAAAAATCCTGTGTTAAAATAAACTCTTGGGTGTAAATAGGTCAGCACAATCGAGAAACCTAGGTGTTTAATGGAGAGATTCTGACCGGGATTCCTTAGTCACTGATTCAGTTGGAAGAAGAGAAGCTTCATGGTGCCTGAAGTTTTTAAGAAGTTTGAAAAAAAAGTTCAAAACCCAGCAGATATTGTGTGGACATGGGATGCAGGCCCATGATGTTAGCAGGCACAACTCTTTTCAAATGTATTGGAGCTGTGCAAGCAGTTTGGCTTTATCCATGGAAATAACACAGGTGTAGGTTAAACAAGGCCTGATTCATTGTGTTCAAGGCCATAGGGATTTTTATGGTTGTCTGGATGGACTCTTTGTTTGTGATTCATCTGTGAGGTCTGCGTTGTGGCAGAGTCATAGTTCATTTTTTAGAAAAGACAGATATCATATGTTGATTCAAAGTCTTCAAGAGGCAGAAGACCAAGTCCTTTGGTTGGACTAGCCAAGGGTTAATTATCTCTAGCCGCCTGACTATATATCATTCTGCTTTTTGCTCCTTGTGATTGCCCTCTGCCCCCATGGCATGGAAGTGGGTTTGGTGTGCCTGTCTCTCCTCAACCTCACTTGCTGTATAGCCAGCTGTGCTATTGCAAAGTGAATGCTGCTTTTGTATCAGAGGTGATCAAAACAGAATGAAAGCTTTGGACAGCCACAGTGCTTCCTGTTCACTCAGTGACCAGCCAGAGATGATGGGAAACTGAGCCTGATACCCCCCACTGAGAAAGGACACAAAACTGGAGCATACTTATGCAGTCTTCTCTCCTGAAATTCCCAGTTTTGCACAGGGAACATTTCACAAATACAGCTATTTGCATGTCATCCTTCAATTTTGAATGAAAAACTCCTAGAAAGAAGCTTGATATAAAATATGAGTCCTTTATTATGCAACCTGAGAGGGTCTGGTGATTGAATCTTACTTCCTCTTGGCTGAGGCAGATGCTTACCATGGAAGTTCTGCAAAACAAAAGAGAGCTGAATGTTGACATCAAGGTTTGGCCCACTGATCTCACCAAAAAGAAGGTATTTCCTGTGTGGGGGGCAGCAAGAGCCATGTAGTTCATACAAACTCCCATCAAGAATATATGATGCTGTTTGCAGAAAATCATTACCAGATGGCACAGCGATGGTAGGTGTGTGCAAACCCACAGGGTGCAATAGAACGGATGAATAACATCTCTCTGCGGCACATCGAAAAGTCAAGGCGATGGCAAGCAGAGATCTTGCTTCACACTCTGTCGTGCTCCATTCTGCCTTTGTGCTGGACATGGATTCTGTGCAGTGGGGAATGTGTCATGAGAACAGCTATGCCACCCAGGGCTTGAAGCCTCTACGTTGAGCCTAGCAAAGGAGAGTAACAGCAAGGACAATTAAATCTTGGTTGGCCTTCTGCTGTGCTCAGCACAGAGGAGGTTTCTCTGGGTTCGTTATCACAGCTCTGATTCATAACCTTGAGTGGAAGGAGGCCAACAAGCACAGCATGCTATTCCTCTGAGTGAGCTGTTTCAGCTAAATGGAAGCAAAAATCGCAGCATGCTCTCCCCGAACTACTCAAGAGGTGCTCTGAAAGATTCATTAAAATGTTGTTCCATTTTAATGTCTTTTGTGGTAAAGAATGGGTCACTCACATTGCCAGGGAAGTTAGTATATTACAATGGTATTTCACCAAATCCTGGCTTCTGTTGTCTGGGTGGAAAACAAACAGCCTGTGTATTCTGTGAAAGGTTTTAGTAAGGTAAAAACCCCAACAGCTTCTGAGGATGGCATGGGACAAAATAAATTCTTTTTCAAATTTGGTTTTCGAGAGAACCCTGAGTCCTGTCCTTTCTGGAACAGGTGCTGGTCTGGGAGCTTGGGGTCATATCCTTTTCCCTACCGGGTGGAACAGCCTCTTAAACTCAAGGTGGTGGTAGGAAAATGACAGTGCATTTCTCAAACACAGGCTCTTTTTCTGGCCACAAATTTTCCAAGATCAAGGCCATCATTTTTGTAGGTTTGTTAATTTCTCATAATGGCTTGACTAACAACTTATACCGATTAATTTGTGCATGAACTACCTCCTGTGTATGTCCATGAAGGAATTTGCAACTTACACCTGGTGTGTCGTGTATGTTACAAACTTTTTTGATGGGGTCATTACATCTACACTTCTTCAGAAGACAAAAAACACAAGATGACTGTGAGCAGGGCTTCCTATAATGTACTAATGTATGAATGTACAAAACAGACCTATTGGTGAAACTTTACTCACAAAATGAAGGGTTCGCAGAAGGTTTTAAAGGATCTTTTATGAATGGGAAGCATTGCTCTCTTAACTGGAGGAGGCACACAGCCTGATTCACTGAGAAAGCTGCTGATTAAATGATTAAAAGAGATTTTGTCTCCTGGCTCTTGTACTACAGCTAATTTTCTAGTCACAGATGAATCTCAGTCACCTCCCAGAAATGCAGAAAATCAGAGTTTTCTTCTTCTAAATTTCAGCCTTGTACAACAATTGAATTCCACTGGTCTGAGAGGGATTTGGGGAAAGCTTTTAATGTTCCATATGGCTTTAGGATTCAAGGAATTTCCATGTAATGAAGTACTGTCTTCTGGACTTTTCCCTTTCTGCTTTATACTTAGCAGGCGGTATTATAACACTAGCAGCTTGGAGCAGTTTAAATTTCATATTAGAACTGTAGTATCTGAACTGAAATCCCAAAGGGGATTTTTATCCCTTTTCTTTTCAGCATGTGTCAATGGAAACAGTTCTCTGAAGGTCAAGAACAAGTGCTGTCCCTAAATATAAAATTCCTTTGGTTATCACAAAAGTGGTGTTCACCACAGGAAGGGACTGGACTTCTGAGAAGGGTGCAAGTTTTGATTT